GGCGGAAACCATGCTGGCAATCAGTAAGTATTTTATGCTTTGTGAAGAAATCTGTAATTCTTTTGCAAATGATTTTTTCAATGATTTTGGAAAATATGCTCAGGAGAGCAATTGGGCGGTAGTTCTCTATGTTGCTCGTATCACCTTTTTTGAATATGGGAATGATGGCAGCCGATTTCAGAACACTAGGAAAAGTGCCTGAATTCACTGATAGGTTTATAATGTCAGCAAGGTATTGTGATATAATACAAGCACACTTTTTTATTATATCAACCGGGATTTCATCTAATCCAGTAGATTTTTTATTAGGTAAGTTAGCGATAACTTCTTCAACTTCCTCTTTAGTGGCCGATATGAATACAAGAGAATTACTTATGCTGTTGGAGGTTGTGCACGACTTCGATATATTATTTCCGAAATGTTCAGTCATTTTTTTTTCAATAACAGTGGATAGGTAGTTGCCAAATAGATCAGCGATAATCTTTGGATCCGTGGTTAAATGACCTTCATAATAAAGATTATTATTATTATTGAATGAACAAAAATAACCACAAACATATTTGTGCATTTCAGGTGGTAATATTGAAGGTAATGAAACGAGTCAAAGCGAGTTGATGAAATCACCCCATGTTGAACCCCAGGATTTCTATGTGCCTTGGACATATAAAGACAGTCCATCCTTTAGTGATATTACACTTTAGTATATTGTGAAGAATCATAACATCTTCTTCAACAAGGAAAACTAAAGAAAAAATTTAATAAATAAATAAACTGAACAAATAAAATCTGGAGTTTATTCAAATCCAAAAATTCCTCCATTCTGATTCCTCAGTAGTGCTTATAATTAGGTTAGTACATGTTGAACATACAAGATATGGCAAAAAAGTGAAATTAATGCCCAGCGAGACGATATAGACCACTTTTCACGAGTATATAACATCCGTTGTTATAACAACCAAAAAGTTGCAGAAACAGTTGATAGAAAATCATTTTCATATTTTGACGGGATGATACTCTGAAGGAATTCGATTATCAATTATCGGAAATCATAGACTTCATGTTGATGTTGGACACTACCTTGCACTGATGAGTGGCCACACAGTCCGAAACCGGTCTGCAAGTGTGTTTCAATAATTGAAAATCGATTGCGGCAGTTGTATCGCCAACAGCATATGCAGGAATAAATTCAGTGAAGAATCCTGCACTGACACTTGTCGGATATAATCCAAAGCCCTTCGTGGTATTAGACAGAGGAGTAGTTGTTTTCTGGTAGGTCAGTCCATTAACCTACTGTGTAGGGAGTTGAGACTGGCCTGAACGAATTGTTCTTTTAGATAATTTGATTAAGAGCCAGTCTCCAAGTATGCCCTCTCAATTTGTAGAGGAAATATTCTCATTTGAAGGATATCTCAGTTAAGGATATTCATTTGATATTACCCAGACAAATACATTGTGGATTAGATAACTTAACTGTAGCCATCAAGTGTTAATTTAGATTGGTCACCATAGTCCAAGTCTCGTCAACGTCGAAAAAGTTTTCAAAGCCACAAACTGCATGTTTACAACACAGAAACTGTTGACGATATTGAAGAGCCCATTGAAAAAAAAATGAGCAAAGACAATGAGAGAGCAATGAGTATAATGGAGACAACTATTTGTTGTACAAGAGAAAAATATGAGATAGGTTTGTTGTGGAAAAATGATCATGACATCTTACTAAAAACCAAATATAGACCTGAACCGGATCTAATGAAATCTCTGGTTACTATCTTATGAATAAACGCAATAAGCCCAAGAGACTGCAGTGTTTTCTGGAGACTTGGACTAAATGGACAAGTCAGACAGCTCCAAAGGTACCAAAAAAATGTTATGGAAAATTTGCCAACGACGATATGGATTTCATGGTGAGATGAAGGAAATGTTCCATCAGATTCAAATTCGTGAACAACATCGAAAGTCCTAGAGATTCCTATGGCAAAAGTGATAAAGTGAGAAATATCCGGATGGATATGAGATGATGATAATAACATTTGGTACAACTTGCTCCCGGGTAGTGCCCAGTTTGTTGAAAACTTCAATGAAAAAAATGGTTCCGATCCCAAAATTCAGAGCACATTCATCCACAAATTTCATGTGGAAGATGACTTGGATTTCAAAGATACGGAACAGGAAGCAATTGGATATCGAATATGTTTATGATGGAAAACCAACCAAAATAAATGTTCTTTAGTGCATTGTGTCCGTGGTCGATCCACTGGGCTCAATATTAACAGTTACTATATGAGGTAAAATATTGATGCAGAAGATGTGGCGTTCTGAAATCTTCTGGGATGATTTTTTACCGGAAGAATTGATTAAGCTTCTGCAAAGATCTGAGGATAGTAGCGGACTACAAAATACCAACAAGTTACAGTTCTCTGATTCCTGCAGCAGATAGAATGAAACTCCACACCTATTGTGATAGCAGTTAGGAGGAATTCGCCGAAGTTTGTTATCTTCGAGTCTTGAAAGATGACACAGTCGGGACTTCCATATTTAAGCGAAAACTAGAGTTGCACCTCTAAAGCAACTTCCAATTCCAAAGTTGGAATTGCAAGCCACAGTTATGGAAAGCAGGTTAGGTTAGGTTAGGTCCAAAGTGAGTGGGTCTATTCGACCCTCCGCCGCAACCCGCAAGGGTTTATTGTGGCTCACACCTATTCTCACTCGGCCAAACCCAGCTTCTTAACGAAGCCGATTAGTTTGTATGGTGAGTGGTATTTCAGGTCAGATGGTAAGAGTACGGCTCTGCCGAACTCTAAAGACCTGATTCGGTCCCCAGCGGGGCTCTGTTAATGAGGTAGTCGAATAGTCAAGTTGCAACATTCCCATCTTGATACCCACGAAAACCTTCCCATATGAGGGTTTTTGCACGTCAGCTACACCTGACGATGCCTTAGATTCAGCCGTGCAGAGCTTTTCCGCCTCTGGTTTTGGTGAAACCCCACTTGAGCGCAAACGTTTGCTAACCTGCTCATGTCTCACCTGAGACAGATTCTGTGTACGCCGCAGCTCTCGCTCCTGAAATAAATTTACAGGGAGGTCAGTTGGAGTCGTAAACTCGACATCCATCTCCTTTGCAGACTCGCCCCTGAACTAAATTTACCGAGAGGTCCATTGGAATCGTAAACTCGACATCCATCTTCTCTGTAGACTCACTCCTGAACTAAATTTACAGAGAGGTCAGTTGGAGTCGTAAACTCGACATCCATCTACTCTGTAGACTCGCTCCTGGATTAAACTCACAGGAAGGTCAGTTGGAGTCGTAAACTCGACATCCATCTCCTCTAAAGACTCGCTACTGAATTGAATTTACAGGAAGGTCAGTTGGAGTCGTAAACTCGACATCCATCTACTCTGTAGACTCGCTCCTGGATTAAACTCATAGGAAGGTCAGTTGGAGTCGTAAACTCTACATCCATCTCCTCTGTTGACTCGCTCCTGGATTAAATTTTACAGAAAGATCAGTTGGAGTCGTAAACTCGACATCCATCTCCTCTAAAGACTCGCTACTGAATTAAATTTACAGGGAGGTCAGTTGGAGTCGTAAACTCGACATTCATCTACTCTGTAGACTCGCTCCTGAACTAAATTTACAGGGAGATCCGTTGGAAAGCAGACTGGCAGAGGCAATCAAAATTGAACTGGAAACACCCATCAACAGAATGTATTTTAGAATAGACTCAATGTGTGCTCTGGAATGGATAAGAGCAGATGAAAGATCTTTCAAACCAAACAATTTGTTGCTCTTCGCATAGATTCAAGATTGGCAATGGGTACCCAGTCGACAAAATATAGCAGTTCATGCATATTTATGTTATTTGGTCCCACTTTTTTTAAGTAACTTGTTTTCTGGCCTGTTAAGAATTCAAAAATAAAAAAAATTAAGATGAAAATAACATGAGAGAGAGAATTTCGTTAGGTGATTTGTTGAAGAGCCAGGTTATGTAATAAGAAAACGATCCACGATAATGGGAAGTTTTGTGGTAAGGGGTAATGAGCAAGTTCTTGAATCTCAGATGAAGATTATGAACGTCTGTGCGAAACCTGAGTTTGTTGTAGAGATAAGCAGGCTTCATGTGACTTATTATTTTGTGAAATAGAGTGTATGCGTGTAAGATACGTCGATTTTCCATATTCAACCAACCCAGTTCTGGTAAGTGATGTGTCACATGATCCCTTCTCCGCGAACCAGTGATCAGTCTGACGCATGAGTTGTGTAATACTTGCAGTCTTCTCTTATCGGTTTGCAACAGATAAGGATCGTATATCACATCAGCATAGTTCGCATGGGATAAAACAAGTGCTTCGCAAATAATTTGTTTAGATTAGCGATTCAGTAGTTCACGGTTAAGATAGATTGTTTTGTGGTTACAATATCCTCGTTTCAAGATCAATGAGACATGCGATGAAAATCTTTTATTGGCGACACGTGTAAGATAGTGATGCTTATATTATTCAAGCGCTTTTTCCTAGTTGCTGACCTCCAAAAAAGCATGACAAACCATTTGTTGACATTCACAGAAAGACAATATTTTTCCGAAAGCTCAGTCAGACTTTTCAAATCTATATTAATTTTTCGGCAAGTATCATCTACAGAAGATTCCTCGAAATGCATGTATATCTGCGTATCATCAACGTAACTATATATGTTTGTGTAACGAAGGCAATGAGGGAATTGGGAGGTATATATTACAAACAAAAGTGGCCCTAGGATGGACACCTGCGGGACACCATTCCGAGTAGCAAGAAAATCTGATTTAATTTATTTGTTCAATGTAACACACTGAGAGCAATCACTAAGATAGTTTTTCATGAGTTCAACTGCGTTGGGCGAAAATTTGGAATATTTTAACATCTGTAAATAGATGTTTAGTCATACGAACGTACAAAAATATCCTTCCAGGCATAAATAGATTTACTTCAATCTCATAGTTAATAGATGATGAGAGTCACAAATATATTCAAGAGATAACTGCAAACAGATCGAAATACTGTTTTAGTTGGTGTCCGGGTTTTGCCGTGGTCTTATTTGGTTATAATCTCCAAACGTTTCGACTGCAACTGCGGCAGTCATCTTCAGTGGCATAGTCAAAATATTTTTCTTGACGTGTCAACTGATACTGAAGCTCTCACTTCTGCCGTGTCATTTATAGTGCTGATTTTTCGCGCACTTTCTGTAATGGCGGGTTCACGCGTACTTCCGCGCGATTTGGTTGACTTGGCTTCGTTTTGGCGGTTTTCAATGCTGTGTGTCAGATCTTTGGTAGATACGTTCTTTCTTATTTTCTGTTGAATTTCTCTTAGTGTTTGTGTAATTCTCTGGATACGTTCTGTCTTCTTTTCTGTTGAAGTTCTCTTGGTGTTGATGTATGTCTGTGTATATATCTATATACAAACACCAAGAAAAGTTCAACAGAGAAGAAGAGAAAAAGTATCTACCAAAGATCTGTTTGATATGTTTCAGTCAGTTTTATTCAAAAATTCAGTATTTAATCTGAGTATGGTACCTTGCACAAAAATCCCATCTCAATCCCCTCAAGACTTTGCAAAATAAAGCAATTAAGTGTATCTTCCATTTTTGGAACCAACCTCAGAATCATATAGGTCAAGCTCGACTGAAATTTACCTTTTCATCAACTCGACCAACAATATGAAGAAACATTCCTCAATATTTCATGTAGCTAATTCAGATACTCATAAGCATGATACTAGGCAATACACTTGAAAACTGCAAAAATTCGAACCGAATCAGGAAAAAAAATAACTATACTCTCATGGAATAACCATTTACAAATTAACTACTCCTTTGACCTAATTCAAAAATGATCTGAAAAAATATACATTGAACAACTGATATTTTTTCAATAATTCTGATTCAATCATAACATTCGTTTGCTAATAATGTTGATAATGAATATTACTGTGATAATATTCATTTATACACCAAACGTTCCACAACAGTGCATCACAAATGTTGACAATGTTCATGTATGATTATTTATTTTTGTAACTGTATCTTTATAAACATTGTATGCTTCTTGAGATCGATGAACGTTAATGATAAAGAGACAACAGGAATATTTCTACAAATAATCAAGGCATTTTCATAACAATCCAAGGAAGTTTTCCAGTCTTCTTGAAATGGTAATAGTCATAGACGAGTTTTCCTAAGACAAAAACTATGAGGCTCGCTAATATTGCGTTCAATAAATCCAAACCTTCTTGGAGGGAATATTCAGTTGATAACCTACATACAGAGCTTCTTGATAAATCAACGATCTGAAAAATATAAATCAGTAAAATGTAGCAGTAAGTAGCAAGTTGATGATATTCACAGGTAAGAGTGAGTTTTCATCTCCTTCCACGTAAGAGCATTTCACATCGTGAATGTCCTTTATTTGTTGAGCATATTTTTGTAGAACCAGTTCCTGAAAGAAAATATTATTATTAAATTTTTGAGCATAGTGTATGAGAGATTGATTGTGAAAAGCATCGGTTGAAAATTTGAAACCTACTATTAGGTTGTATGTATGTATGTAAGACCCACGATTGTTTTATCGTGAGTATGAATGCTCAATGCACACAAGAATTACAATAACTCTTGTGAAAAGATAGGATAAGAAAAATAACTAGCTAGATTAAAAATTAAGATTCACTTGAGAAACATAATAATTTCGACACTAAGATTTTGAGACCGAACATGCCGCCACCCTTGAACTGTCCAAGTTCAAAAAAATAAAGTACAGCCGTTAATTGAAGGGTAGAGGGCAAAGTTTCTTAGTACAGCGCTTGCACTCGCCACTTTTGGTTTTTAGAGTCACTACACAGTGACTCTAAAAACCAACTACTGTAACTACAGAGTTACAGTAGTCGACACCCGTTTTCAAAAAAGGTCGCGAAGGCACAACGCGGTAATCAGGTAGAGGACCTGGCTTATGATCAGTTAGACGAGGTTTTGCACGAAAACATGGAAGGCAACCATGAATAACCTTTCTTACGCTATGTCGCCCGTCATGCGGCCAATAAGTTTGGCGAACTGAATACAAGGTTGCTTGAGCCCCTGCATGCACGAGCCGCATGTGTTCCTCGCGTATGATAAGCCGAGTGATATGGTGATGAGCAGGCAAAAGTATAGGGTGAAGCTGATTTAAAGGCAAGGAGGACCAACGAAGTCTACCGCCCACTCTCAATATTCCTTGATCATCCAAATATGGACTTAAAGGGATTAATTTGCTAGATTCTAGTAGAGATTCATTTTTCTTCAGGCAATTGATTTCTTTTAGAAAGAATGACCATTGTGTGAGTCGCATAATGACGTTGTGAGCTGCAGAAATCTCTGTTAGACTCAAAGCTTCCGAGTATTTGAAGGTTTTATGTTTTGTTTTGTGTACAAAACGCAATAGATAAGCTACCACACATTTTAGTTTACGAAAAAAACTGAAACATTCAACTAATGGAAACCCTTTTAATGAAATGCTCATGCAAGTAACAGGATTATTCACTACGGCTTTAAGTTCAGGGATAGTAATCTCAGATAATGCGCCTTTTGGCCATTCGTCTTTGTCCTGTAATAACCATATAGGCCCCATATAGAACTAGTAATAAATTCAGAGGGTAATTGTCCGCGTGAGACTAGATCTGCGGGATTGCCTTCAGAGAATAGATGTCGCCAATCACAATTTTTGGTAATCCGTCGTATATCAGCTACACGATTGACTACAAAGGCATTGGGTGCAAACTGCGGAGCAGTTTGCACCCAATGTAATGCAATCGTGGAGTCGGACCACAAATAAATGTCAGTGACGTCTAACAGAAGAGATTCCTTGACTATGATAAGTAAATTGGAAAGTAAGACTGCACTGCATAGCTCTAAGCGAGACAAGCTAAATGGACTCACAGGAGCCACTCTTGATTTGAAGCATATTAGTTGTGCGTGTACAACTCCGTTTGAATATGTTGAGCGTAAGTATAGGCAAGCTCCATAGGCCTTTTCACTTGCGTCACAGAATACGTGAATTTGAAGATCACATAAGGTTGGAGCGATAAGACAACGAGGAAAATGCAAAATTTCAAGGTAATTCCAGGCACGGATTCATTCCAGGTAATTCCAGCCTTCCAACAGAGTTGAATTATTATTTTTGCATAAACTATAACTGGCCCCAGAAGGCCTAAGGGATCAAAAAGTTTTGCGATTTGAGATGTTTCGTTTGGTTTTTAAAATAGTTGCATTAACCTTATAAAACAGTAAATCACTTTGAGAGTTCCAGTGTATACCGAGAGTTTTGACAGGCGATTCAGGATCAAGGGACATATGAGAATTTTTTTGGTGCTCAGAATAATTGGATACAAGAGACGGATGATTTGAAGCCCATTTTCGTAACTGAAAGCCACCTTTCTTAACTAAATCTTGTAGTTGATCACACAATAGCTCTGCTTCTGGCAGTGTTTTCGCACCTGTAAGAAGATCATCTACGTAGAAATCTCTTTTTAAAGATACAGAAGCAAGTGGATAGCGATGACCTTCGTCCTCAACTAGCTGCTGTGAGGATCGAATAGCTAGATGAGAGCTATTCGACACGTCCCACCCATATTTATGATCTATGCGACCTGCTGTATAAAGTTTAACTTTTGTTGAACTTATAAAATGACCGCTCGAAATAACATCTATCCAACCATATATACAGCGGGATCGTCACAGCACGACCGAAATCTTCCGCCATCTCCCGGTCTATATTTTCATCAGCGACTGTATACATATTGAGCTGGTAACTTCAACTTCAGAAAAAAAATCAAGATAGCATAAGAGTGAAAAAAATGGAATCACAGGTAATATCGATTGTGTCAAGTTTAATATATATGAAGAAATAAATTGATGGATGTAGCCGTTACTACGTGATAGGAAAATCATAGAAAGTTTCATTTCTCTTTTCTTCAATATGAAGAAATATTCAAAATGGTGAATCTAAAATTATGGTGAAAAATAGTGTCTAAATTTCAGTTTGTTCTAAAAAAATCCACATGAAATGATAATTTTCGACTTATTTCTTCTTGTCAATATATGAAAAATTACTGACTTCGGCAAAAAACGATATGTTATAAATGGTGAAAACTGTATCTGTATCTGTAGAGTAGGGAGGGTGAGTGTAAGCCCACAGCAGTTAGGCCACATGTAACCCATTGTACATCCTCCCGAAGAGTTGTTCTCCTACGTCATCGTCCATCCTGTCCTTTCCAGGAAGGTGGACAGGTCACTGGAAGACATCCCCTTTATATCGGCAGGTGTACGTCAAGACTCGCCGAACACATACTCTCTTATTGACTATATAGGTGTCACTGGGTCCTAAAATTCTTAGTCCAGCCGTTTCCTTTGAGATGACCGTTTTGGCGGAAGTTGGCTATTTTTCGTTTGATGATGGGTTTCCATATGTTGCGTATTTCTACGCTGGCTTGGCTGAATACGTTGTTGGACAACATGTATGCGGCTTCCTTTCAACTTCCGCCAAAACGGTCATCTCCCACGGAACCAGCTGTTCATTTTCAATTCTTCTTTTTTAGTTATTTCAGGAATTTCAAATCATTTTATATAGTAGACAATGGAAGTCCGAACTAATGAAATTCATCATGAAACATTCAAACACACACTCTCTTATTGACGATAACTCCGGACACCCGCATAGGACATGCCTGACAGTTTCATCTAACTGTTCACACATCCTGCATAGAGGTGTGTCCACTAGCCCTATATTAGGAGGTGTTTCTTCAGTCGACAGTTGACAGGGTTATACTAGCAAGATTGCATCTTTTGATTCCATCCCATCTCTTTAGAAATTGAGCATGGGTGTGACGTTTGGCTAGTTCTGCAATTGTTGAAGTCATCAGGTCGTAGGTGCCACTAAGTCCCAAAATTCTTAGTCCAGCCACTTCCTTTGCTGAAGAGTCGACAATGCGATTACCTTTACGCTTTAACCCACCTCAGGATAATGTTATTATCTACCGAGGCTTTGGCTAAATCCAGTACTACCCCCTGAGGTAAAACGTTGTCTGTTCCAGGCTAATGGGGCTGGTCTGCTATCAATGCAAATTGTTATGTTTTGCCAGAAAACTGTAATCCATTGAAGTTCCACAGCATATTATCTTGAGTCCACTATCATACAATTTATAGAATCAGTTGTGGAATTGGCTGCGTCGGTAGTGCGCCCAACTCACGATCGGAAGACCGTGGGTTCGATTCCTGCCTTGACCAGATATTTTTCTCGAGAGAATTTATCTGGTTGAAGCTGGGATGATTTTGCAACCATGTTAGGAATCATACGTTAAAAAGTAAGACCTCATTAGTCCTTAGCTCGCACACGTTTCTCAACTTCTGAGAGTTGTCATTCGTATGGGGGCGACAACTGATTAACGGAAAAACAGACAAAATTGACAGAAACAGTTATAGTCAGATACGCCAAAATCTGGCTGTTTATTAATTGATAAATTAGTGACAATATAAATTAGATCATGAAACGTATTCAGGCAACATGTTTAGTAAAAATAATTAGTCAGTCATTCTCAGAGTTACATAATGGAATTAAAGATTTTTATAATGGACAGAATTTATACTTTCATCCAGCGCATTGAGTGGAAACTCTCAGAAATAATTACTCGAAACTATTTTCGGGAAAACCTTTCGTTCAAATCATTGAAAGTAAGTGGAAAAAATAAATATTCAACAATCAGTATTTCATAAAAAATACGAAAATTATTGCATTATAGCGAGCACCGGATTTTTTTGTGAAAATACCGATAAATTGAAGAAATTTTGTGATAAAAATCGTTTGACACCTCCGAATTCTTGAGCAATTTCAAATAATTATTCTGCAATTGCGTCAGAGCACTGTACCAAACCCATAAATAATTTTGAAATGATCCATGAACTATTTGAGCTCAAGATATAATAATATTTGAATTCAATTAGTGAAAAACATAAAGAACCAAACCACGCCGCATAATTCGATTTAAGTTTCATTCGATGTACAGAGTATGTTCTCCAACATACCGTACAACGAATGTAAGCCCTTCATTTTAGGAATATTAGATCAAGCCAAAGTAGACCATATCACTCCCTTCGAAATTTCAACAACTTTCGATGTGTGCCTAAATCAGAGTTACCTACAGTTCAACAACAAATTTTATAAACAGGATTCAGGTTTACCAATGGGTTCACTCCTTAGTCCACTTTTAGCAGACATATTTATGAACAGCTTGGAGACCATTATAGTAAATTCCGACCTGAGTAAAAAACATATTTATTTTTGGTATAGATATGTAGGCGATATTCTCACCTGTTGCAGAGGTACTACACGACAGCTGAACCAATTTATGACATTCATGAATAATCTCAATAGCAACATTCAATTCACACTCGAAACAGATAAAGAGAAACAGATAAATTTCATAGACCTGACCATTACACACAATCAGAATAAATTTGAGTTCAATGTTTTTAAAAAACCTAGCTATACAGACATTACCATCCCAAGTGATTATTTCCATCCAGACAGTCATAAATTAGCAGCCTACGATTCAATGTTGCAAATAGCATTCTCAGCATAATAATAGTTTCAACGCAGATACAATCCAGAAGTAAGTCAGATTCACTTACAGATTAATATACCCCCAGATCAAACAATCAGAAATCAAGAAATGGGTAACTCTAACATATTTTGGTGAAAGAACAGAGATAATTACAGGTTTCTGCATAAAAAACAATGTGGAAGAAGCATTTAGACCACATGCCAGATTATCTGATTTCCTTTTCAATGCCAAAGATAAAGTGGATAAAGTTGGAGAAATCTGCAGTTTATAAGCTTAATAGTCCGAAGTGTAATAGTATTTATGTGGGACAATGTGGTCGAAATTTCCTAAAACGGTAAGCTGAACATGAAAGGTCCTTCAGACAAGGTAAAAATGATTCGACGTTTTCAAACCATTCGTTGGCATACAACCACAAGTTCCTGAATCTGAACGATTCAAAAATTTTGCACTATGCAAGGAAGGGTTGCAAACTCAATTATTTGGAATCTTTAGAAATTCACAAGCATAAACATTGCGGGTGCAACCTGTTAAATGATCAAATCGATTTAGTTTACTCACCGGTTTTCAAATTAGCATATCCACATTGTCCAAGTAAACAAAATTCAGATACTCAATCAAGCTAAGTACCTCTATTATTACCTACAGTGATGTTATATAAGCGCTAATGTAATCAACCATTTTTAGTTTAATGTAAAAGTTTGAAAATGTCCTTATAGGACGAAACTGCAGTAACGTTAGTTACAAATAAAAGTGGTGAAAAACAAAGAAAGTTTCAATTCTCTTGTCTTCATAAAAAAATATTGTGATCAAAGAGTATCATAATTCCTTCGCCGATTTCCCAATTAAATTATCATTGATCACAACCAAAAATTCAAATACTTGTGTGCCGATCAATTTTGAAAACTATTTTGTGTCCCGATCGATTTTTTTAAATATTTCTTGGAGAAGTTCAGCTACGACTGAGTTCAACCAGAAAATAAGCTACGGAAAACACATTACCTGAAAACTGGGAATGAATAAGCAGTCACATCTCCAGGGATTTCCGCCAAGATAAAGCCTTAGTCCATCAGGCATGTGTCTATTTTTCATCAGTGCATTATCAAATGCAAATGAAGGTATCTAGAAAATGAATGGAATAATTAATCTTGTAATTTAAGACCTACCATTAAAGTATCATTTAATGAAATACCGGTTGTTGTTTTAGCCGAACCGTCAAATACGACTCGAATTTTGGTAGCCAAACTGTCGTCCTTTCTCACCGCATGATGGGGAAGATAAAAACCCCTGGCAGTATCGTCTTGACCGAAACTACGAGACATATGACCCAGCTTTTGATATTCGCTCAAAAAGTCAGAGTATTGGCGTTGAAGATCTGAATCCTTTTGGAATCGTCTTTCTAAGGCATAGAAACGACGTAAAGCAGTTGAATAAGATTCTCCAAGATTTTGAATTTTGTCATTAAAAGGAAGCCTAACGATGTATCGACCAGACTTATCTCGAGTAGTGTGAAGTGAATAATGTACTTCACATGCATACGCCTTGAAACGTGACAATTTCTGTGGATGGTTCAGTTTCTGGGCATCCACTTTTCGAGCTTTTTGACCTTTTCAATGCGTTATTCGCAATCCCACGCAACGTTTGTGATGGGTCAGTCTTCACCAGGGTCATCAAATCCGCGTTCTGGATTACTGTAGGTCGACCACTTCGAGGTCATCTTCGAGGCTAGTATCTCCGGTGAAAAATTTCGCAAACTAACGTCGAAAATTGCGTTCATTAACACTATATCTGTCAAATGGCAATTTTTCAGGCCGTTTCGGCACCGCTTTGATTCAACTTGAATTCGTAGAGGAACATTGGCTGAAAGTCGCTCAACGTCATTACAAAGTAATGAGAGTAATGAGTATTATGGTGGATGGAGATT